GAACTTGGCCGACCCCCACGTTGGTGGGGGAGGTGTGCAGTTTCATAGGATTTGCGTCCTATTACCGTCGTTTTGTCGCCAGGATCGCTACCATCGCCAAACCTCTCCACACCTTGACGGCAAACGGACATAAATTCCATTGGGGGGAGGTGGAGGTCGCATTTGTTGCGCTCTGGGATGGATTGGTGAACGCCCCTCCCCTCCGCTACCCCGACTTTTCCTTGCCGTTCGTCCTTGATACAGACGCTAGTAACACCGGAAATAGAGCTGTTATGTCCCAAGTTGTCAATAGCATCGAGAGTGTTGTCGCACATGAAAGGTATTGTGTCACACGCCGGGAACTGTGAGCTATTGTGTTTTTTGTGCAACAGTATCGCCCCTATTTGTATGGTAGACACTTTGAGGTGCGCTCTGACCGTGCAGCGCTACAGTACGCACTGCGTGTTGAACAGCCTTCTGGCCAACTTTCATGCTGGTTGGAGGTCCTCCAGGACAACTCATTTAAAGTTACCTATCGCATAGGCTCCCGTTACACAAACACTGATGCCCTGTCGCAATTACCAATAAGCTACGGGTGAGCATGTTTTTTGGGCTCCGGGCACTGTAAGCCACCCAATGAGCACTTGGCCCCTCCCCATGCAGTGTCGGCCCGAGGTTGTAATATCTGAGGTGGCCGAGGGTCCGGTGGTGCCTGACGCCGTCACTGGGTTGGACCACGAAGAATGGGGGCGCCTCCAGGTTAAAGATGCTTCCCTGCTTAAAATGTGATGCCGTGCCAGAGAGACTGATGGGGGCGGGGATCAATGGGGTGTCGCCTCTGTTATTCTTAGAGGCAAATTGGTCATGCATTGGGACAGAGGGTTGCGCCGTTATAACATTGTTATGCCCACTGCCCTGCGGGGTAAGGTAATTTGGGTGGTACACGAGCGCCTGTTGCACCTGGGTGTGCATAAGAAGTTGGCCACACTTAAGTTGGACTTCTTCTGGCCTGGCATGGCTGAGGACGTCGCTAATTTGATGAAAGGGTGTGTGTAGTGTGCGCGGCGGAAGCCGCTGGCGAAACCCTGTTGTCCACCGTTGCAATCGATTCAGGTTTTCCGCGTGAATGAACTAGTTGCTCTGGACATCCTAGGTCCATTTCCCACTACCCCTCATGGGACTAAGTATATATCGAGTATTTTTCACGATGGCCTGTGGCCTGGCCGCTCCACAACCAGTCGGCGGCAACGATCATCACTGAGGCATTCCTCAATGGCTATTTAATGGACACGGGTGCTCCCGAACGTCTTATGACCGATTAGGGCAACATTTTTTCTTAAAAATTGTTGCGAGAAGTGTGCGATTTGTTGGGAACAAAGAAACTACGCATGACACCATACCACCCACAGATCGATGGCATGGTTGAGCGGCTGCACAGGACCTCCATGTTGAGCCATCAGATCAGCGAGTCCCAACACAACTGGGATTTGCATATTCCCAGAGTCCTATCTGCATATAGGTTGGCCCCTCACGCATCCACTGGCTACTCACCGTTTTTTTTATGTATGGAAGAGAACACGACCCCCCGATTGATGTTCAGTTACGAGCCGCACCCAACAAGGCTAAATAAAAAAAATTCTGGCTCCATGCGCTTCATCCTTCAAAAGCTTTCTGAAGCGCGGGAAGCTTCCAGGGTAAATTCCATTCGTGCCAATTGGCCAATGAGCAGCTGAAGGGTTTCTGTGCTTCTGCACATGAGTGGGCACCTGGGGACAGAGCCTGGTTGCACTGTCCACAGGTACTGGTGGGTACGTCACCCAAGTTGTTCAAACCCTGGAGAGAGCAGGTTGATGTGATTCGGGTCGTTCGACCACAGTGTGTCCAGATCCACTTGGGGTGGCGGAGTTGGTTTGTATATCCCTCACGCCTCAAGCCTTTCATCACTCCACGCGAGTTTGTTCCATCTCCACACCGCAGGCACCGAGTGTCAGATGTGTCGGGCAAGCTAAGGTGTGTGCCCGCTGAGGTTGGCCCTCAGCGGAGTCATGTGATCCCGGCCTCAGGTGCCGCACGCCTGACGTCCTCCGAGCCGCCGCCTGCGCCGTCTCTACTGGATTTGGGAGAGGAAAACCTGTCAACCCAGCCTACTGCTCTTTATGAGGAGCCGGGGTCGACAGGGACATTTGCATATTCCCCCCGGGACCTCCAGGGAGAGCAAACCCACCTCCCCTGGGGGCCCGGCCACAAGGACTCGATCAAAAACTCTTCGGTTTTTGTGATCCCCATGCACACACACTCCCACACCGTCAGTTGTTTGTCGCACTCGGTAAGTTGTATCGACTGTTGGCTGAACCTAGCCTTTATTGTGCTTGCGGGTGTTGTTACAGGGTTAGGGTGGGAGATGTTGGTGATGGAGGGGATTCCGAGCGTTCAAGGTTTACTGCATTTTTCTTTCTCCTCTCGTGTTGTTGTTATGTACTTACACCCTTTTCCCCATTGTTAATGTACATCTGTATGTAGTGTAGATGTAGAGACGTAAATAGCGTCTCTGTGGCGTATAAGCCTACTATGACCCCAACAGGTGTGTGAATGCGCACTTACCTCTCGATGGGGGCCGACGGGGACTCATCGGAGAAGCAAGCCCGCGAAGCGGGGTCCCGTCGGAGATAGAGAGAGGACGTGCCGATATAGAGTGATGAAGGGGGTCCAGAAATGGGAGCCCGGGGGGCCATGTCACACTGGCTCTGGTTCCGTCGGGAGAGACCGAGGAAGGGGCGTGGCGAGAGGCGGAGCGGGGCCATGCTCGAGGAGGATAGAAGGGACGGAGGCAGAGCGATCGTGGTGGTCGAGCGGGAGAGCTGTCCGTGTGTGGTCGCATCGGGGGGAGCCGAAGAACGTCGGTCGTAGGGACTCAATGAGGCAGGGACCCCCTCTCCCTTTTTGGGGTCTAGAATAGCCCTGAGTATGGTTAACTTGTAAGCCTGTTAAGGTGTTAATAAATCATGGTGCCTCCAGACTGCAGTGTGTGCCTCGTCAAATACACACTACATCTGGTACCAGAAGTGAAAATACTTACTGCTTTGATTTGCATAGGATTCAAATGTATACGAGACGAAGACAACCTACCAAAAGGTTTTCGGAGGAGGAAGATGAGGAGGGGTGATCCCCCAGACAGCTCCGGGAGAGGCGGGTCAGGAGATAGACCGCGAGGGGTTTGGGCCTGCAGAGCAGCGCCTGGAACGTGACCTCACCACTCCGCGGGCGGCGGGGAAAGAGGCACAGCATGCAATGTATTGACATCGCAGACACCCCATATATGTGGATGTAGTACCAGCCCTAGAGGGGCTCGGTGCGTGTGCAGTTCTGTCCCCTATCGGTGGGAGTGAGAGAATGCCGGCCATGAATGGGGTTAATGTAGGCCATGGCACTCTGGTTGACCCTAGAAGACAAGTGCCGGGTAAAGTCTACACAGGGGCCCCAAGTGGAGGCTAGGGGTGTTCACGTGTCGGGGCGAGATCCTGCTACAGTGAGGGAAAAAAATATTTGATCCCCTGCTGATTTTGTACGTTTGCTCACTGACAACAACAAAATCCAGAAAAACTCATGTCAAAAATGTTATATATTTCGATTTCAAGCTTTCGTGACTGCAGGGATTCATCTTATTGGTTCTTTCGGTAAAGTCACGTAGAAGGGAAGTAATAAAATAATAAAAATAAAACATAATAAAATATTTTATTTTGATGAAAATAAAACATAATCAAATATTTTATTTTATTATGTTTTATTTTTATTATTTTATTACTTCCCTTCTACGTGACTTTACCGAAAGAACCAAGAAGATATAACATAATAAAATAAAATAATTCTCACGACGTTTCGGCCACAACGCAAGCAACCGTCCTCAGGTGAAGAATGAAACACCACCAAGCTTGGAGCATATATTTAAGCTGGTTTGGAGGGGGGGGGAAGAAGAGTGCCTTGACAAAATAATTTGCATATCAAGAGGAATTTAGCATATGGAAAATGCGTAGGAGGTGGGCGGGGGGGTTCAAATTAATATTATGCCCGTGCATTATGCAGGATTAGCAGCATCAAGAGGAGGGGGAAGGGGGGTAGCATTAACAAAGGAAAGGAATTTTAATAGTATGTAGCAGCAGTTACTAAACAACCACGTAGAAAACTAAAGTATAAACTACATAAAAAACTTAAGTATAAACTACATAGCATCATCAGTATACTAACTATACTCTACAATAAGCTGAGTTACTAACAGTAAGTAATACATTACAATTCTACGTCGTAAAAAATTATATATTATGCCCGTGCATTATGCAGGATTAGCAGCATCAAAGGGAGAGGGAAGGGGGGTAGCATTAACAAAGGAAAGGAATGTTAATAGTACGTAGCTGCAGTTACTAAACAACCACGTAGAAAACTAAAGTATAAACTACATAAACAACTAAAGTATAAACTACATAGCATCATCAGTATACTTACTATACTCTACAATAAGCTGAGTTACTAACAGTAAGTAATACATTACAATTCTACGTCGTAAAAATTATATAATATGCTTCCAGCTAAACTTTATTCTCTTACATCACACGAGTCTACACCGTACTATATACTGCTATAGACGAACCCAACATTAAATTATATACTGTATTACTATACACCACCTTATACATTTTAATATAACACTATGTATTATTCTACCCACCCTAATGTGTATCACACTGCTATATGTTAACTATACAATTACGATACTATATATTACTTTGTACATTGTATTAAGCATATAAATGTTATACTATTTGTTATTATGCACTGTAAATTATTTTGTCAAGGCGCTCTTCTTCCCACCTCCCCCCCCCCTCCAAACCAGCTTAAATATACGCTCCAAGCTTGGTGGTGTTTCATTCTTCACCTGAGGACGGCTGCTTGCATTGTGGCCGAAACGTCGTGAGAATTATTTGATTTTATTATGTTTTATTTTTATTATTTTATTACTTCCCTTCTACGTGACTTTACCGAAAGAACCAAGAAGATGAATCCCTGCAGTCACGAAAGCTTTAAATCGAAGATGTTATATATTGATTTGCATTTTAATGAGGGAAATAAGTATTTAACCCCTCTGCAAAACATGACTTAGTACTTGGTGGCAAAACCCTTGTAGGCAATCACAGAGGTCAGACGTTTCTTATAGTTGGCCACCAGGTTTGCACACATCTCAGGAGGGATTTTGTCCCACTCCTCTTTGCAGGTCTTCTCCAAGTCATTAAGGTTTCGAGGCTGACGTTTGGCAAATCGAACCTTCAGCTCCCTCCACAGATTTTCTATGGGATTAAGGTCTGGAGACTGGCTAGGCCACTCCAGGACCTTAATGTGCTTCTTCTTGAGCCACTCCTTTGTTGCCTTGGCCGTGTGTTTTGGGTCATTGTCATGCTGGAATACCCATCCACGACCCATTTTCAATGCCCTGGCTGAGGGAAGGAGGTTCTCACCCAAGATTTGACGGTACATGGCCCCGCCCATCGTCCCTTTGATGCGGTGAAGTTGTCCTGTCCCCTTAGCAGAAAAACACCCCCAAAGCATAATATTTCCACCTCCATGTTTGACGGTGGGGATGGTGTTCTTGGGGTCATAGGCAGCATTCCTCCTCCTCCAAACACGGCGAGTTGAGTTGATGCCAAAGAGCTCCATTTTGGTCTCATCTGACCACAACACTTTCACCCAGTTGTCCTCTGAATCATTCAGATGCTCATTGGCAAACTTCAGACGGGCATGTATACGTGCTTCCTTGAGCAGGGAGACCTTGCGGGCGCTGCAGGATTTCAGTCCTTCACGGCGTAGTGTGTTACCAACTGTTTTCTTAGTGACTATGGTCCCAGCTGCCTTTAGATCATTGACAAGATCCTCCCGTGTAGTTCTGGGCTGATTCCTCACCGTTCTCATGATCATTGCAACTCCACGAGGTGAGATCTTGCATGGAGCCCCAGGCCGATGGAGATTGACAGTTCTTTTGTGTTTCTTCCATTTGCGAATAATTGCACCAACTGTTGTCATCTTCTCACCAAGCTGCTTGGCGATGGTCTTGTAGCCCATTCCAGCCTTTTTTAGGTCTACAATCTTGTCCCTGACATCCTTGGAGAGCTCTTTGGTCTTGGCCATGGTGGAGAGTTTGGAATCTGATTGATTGCTTCTGTGAACAGATGTTTTTTTATACAGGTAACAAGCTGAGATTAGGAGCACTCCCTTTAAGAGTGTGCTACTAATCTCAGCTCGTTACCTGTATAAAATATACCTGGGAGCCAGAAATCTTTCTGATTTAGAGGGGGTCAAATACTTATTTCTCTCATTAAAATGCAAATCAATTTATAATATTTTTGACATGCGTTTTTCTGGATTTTGTTGTTGTTATTTTGTCTCTTACTGTTCAAATAAACCTATCATTAAAATTATAGACTGATCATTTCTTTGTCAGTGGGCCAACGTACAAAATCAGCAGGGGATCAAATACTTTTTTCCCTCACTGTAGATGATTAGAGAAGGTGGTCTAGGCCAAGGGCGGAGCCAGCCACGACCATTGAGGATATAAACTGGGTCCCGAGAGGGACCGGGGGTCAGCGTTGCTGTTGTTATCCTGAAGATCTACGTTCTACGTTCTATATCCGAAAATAGTCACCAACACATGGACCTGGACCAAAGCCGGGGTTCTGTCCATTGCAGCTACTCCCAGTGTAATTAGTGTAGTTAGCCTGGTGGTCCACCACCATAGGTCGTTATCTGGTAAAGGGGCAGTTACCCCTTTGTGTTAGTGTGTTGGTATTAATAAATGTGTTGCCTCCAAGGAGTACGTACGTCTGCGACTCAGTTGAATCCACTACAAATATATTATGTTAATATGGATGAAGAGCATGCCTTTGGAATAGAATGCAAGACGTTTAGGATTTCATTTCCAACTGAGATTAGAATAACAATAGCAATAGACAATGTCGGTGAAGTGACCAGCGACTGGTTGTTACATGTCACCATTGCAAGCTGATAGATATATTTTATGTCTTTCAGCAAGAAAGGCCCAATAAGCTGTTGGGCTGTCTTTCATGGACATGCTGTGACGTTGCAGATGTTTACAGTACAGATCTTAGTATAGGAGATGCTAAATTAGAATTATCTTTACCTAAAAGCAAATAGTGGATATTAATATCTGACATACAGTACAAGATGCCACTTTTTTTTTTAAGAAATAGTTTTTCAAATGTATATGGACTAACCTAAATTACAAGTAAAATTGAGCATATTCTCATGGAAACACCTCAGGATTGTCACAGCATCGTTGTCATAACCTAATTCAAATTCAGTAAGTGATCACGGGCTGGTATATTCCAAATTACCATTTAATATCACCACATAGAGCAAGCTGATTCGACATGAATTCATAATTTCCATACTTGTCATCTCACTGCCCAGAAGAAGGGATGTTGTTTAAAATGTCAGTGTACCATATACTGTTCCAATATAACGAAGTGTTGTGAATAATGTGTAGGTGCTGGTTGTGCTCTGGCTGCTCCCCATTGCCGATCTAAGCACTTAATTGAATGTCTAAAGGATTGACTATTATTTGTTATTGCTTGCTAGACTTGCCTATTGACAGATGACGGATTTACAATAGTTTTCAAATCATCACACCAGTCGTGAATTATTGAAACAATGCCGTATGTTTGTCTGTCATTTGAGTTTGTGCTTTGGAACCAAAGATAGTACAAGAACGAACCCCTGTGTACATGGCAGCGATAGTGATACAGTGCCAGAAGCACTGCCAATGATAGCTTTAGCTAAAGTCCTAATAACTCATTAGAGACTGGTCTTGCTTCGACTTTACATTGCCTCACCAATATCAAAACTGGGGTTGGTTGTACCCATGCTTGCTGTGTGACATTTTCCGAGTGGTTTGCTTGGGACTGCAGCCGATGCAACTTTCTCCACAACCTGCAGGACAATGAAGAATGTGCAATGGTGATTTATAATAACACACATATATCCCACCTGCTTTATACATATTGATATAAACATTTCACAATAATAATAAGGAAGTTGAACTGAACTAAAAAGTGCCATCGTTAATCAGAAATAACTGTACATGTATTGTCGTTGGTGAACCGTAAACGACAACCATGTATGCTTTCTGTAGCATGGAGTAATGAGACACGTACACACAGAGACAAAGAGACAGAGAAGGGCATAGGGATAGAGAACCATAGAGTGACACAGAGAGACAATGAAATAGACAGACACAGGGATATAGACAGACACAGACATAAATAGACTATGAGATAGACACATTAATTGTTTCTTAAGATAATTAACCTTTAACTATGACATAATGTATACAATATATCGGGGTAAAATACAATATTACCTTGAAGTCAAGAGCAATTTTCATGAATACTCTTTGACATGCTAACTAATTGGTTATGCTCTCATTGAATTATGTATTGTACTCACATTAACGATTTAAGTACGTGTCATGTTATTGTTATATGTGGAATGGTAAACTTGTCCCGGGCTGCAAACCGAGGTCAAAAACACGATTCCCCATAACATGTTACTAATGAACACTATTATGACCTACCGTTTTCCTGTTTTCGGTTACCTAAACCGAACCATAAAACCCATCAGTTCGATTCTCCAATTATTAATATTTTTGTTACAGCCCTTTGCTCATTGAAAGCGTCCTCTCAAAGTGAAGGTCATGAGGGTTGTTTGTCCATACTATCTCCTACTGGTCAGGGCGGACTTGTTGCCATCTACCAGTTCAGATATCACTTGTCCCTTATGTTAGCTATGGCTATAGATCCAAATTAGGATGCCCGGTTAATTGTGTAGTGCACTAACCAATATACCACGAATCCAAACATGGATAATCCCAATTAAATAAGAAGGGAATTGTGCTGACGAACAATTATTACAGTTAATATATTGCATTCATTTATGTGCCTATCGATTCGCATTGACCAATCAGACCACTGTTTAGATTTTGAGAATAAAGGGATGACGACCACCGGCGAAGTGCAGAGTGGTGGCGCCCTGTACTTGATGTGGAAGCAAAATATTACATACCAGTGCTCTAAAGGCGTCCCACAGAGAGCCTAAATATACATCACGGCAACAACGTGGCGATACCGTCACAGCTCCTTATCGGCCATCACAGTTTAGTCGTCGTAGTACTCACTGCAGTATCTGAATGTGATTTCCTCCAACTGCACGGGAGACAGGACCTCACGAGAAGGGAAGGGCTAACTTCTTTCCCTTTCCTACCACCTGTCGACAAACAACAGCACACAGCTCTGCTTCAAACGATCTTTCCATTTTCTGGAATGAATCTGATATCAGGCATATTCTAGTGAGATTTTTAGTAATATGTCCTGCATATCTTCTTGGTTCTTTCGGTAAAGTCACGTAGAAGGAAAATAATAAAATTATACAAATAAAACATAATAAAATACAAAATGTCCTGCATACTTTCAGATGAAAATAAACCATTATAATTTATATCATTACAATAATCTCGTTTCGAATCTTTGCATCTGATAGGCTCATAGTGATGACATAATTTAGCATTATTTGTGACCAGAAGCAGGATGACTTCGTCACAATTCTGGCAAATCGCCTGATGACGCTGGTTCTAATCACCAGTAAAACGTTGTACTTAAATTGTAAATGTTGTGGGTTTACTCACCACTGCTGTGTTGAATAGCTATTTAGCACATTTTGTTCATGTGACAAACTGTCGGGTGGTGGTGAGTTAACACATTTATATTTATGTGATCTAACCCAAAAACCTTTATTATGAATAACATTGGTCGTGAAAGCCTACGTGTTAAATTAATATATCAATCAGATCTTAGTATGTTACCTGTCAGGACACTGACGAACATTCCCACAATGACCACTCCCAAGGTCCCCACCGCACTGTAGTAGAGGTAGGACAGAGAATACCAGGTGCTGGCTATAGCAGGCTGATCCGGAGGCAGCCTGCAGAGAGAGAACGGCACACAGAGGATACCTCAGCAATATCCTCATGAAACCCCTTTCAAGTGGTCCCGCCGCGCCCGAATAGATGATTGCGTTTTTTGTTGTTGTATTATGTTATTGGAATCTCATCGTGTGGTGTGCTGGGCCCACATGTTATTGCAATAATGAAAATAATATATTCATGAATAAGCAATGGTCCAAAAGAAATGGGATAATTAATGCGTGAAGCGCAATATTTAAATTTCGATTTAAAGCTTTCGTGACTGCAGGGATTCATCTTCTTGGTTCTTTCGGTAAAGTCACATAGTAGGGAAGTAATAAAATAATAAAAATAAAACAATAAAACAATTCTCACGACGTTTCGGCTACAACGCAAGCAGCCGTCCTCAGGTGAAGAACATGTCTGTCGATAAGACAGAGTCTGAATGACACGTCCTAGGCTTGGAGCGTCTATTTAAGCTGGGAGGGAGGAGGAAGAGCACCTTCACAAAAGACTTTGCATATGAAGAGGAATTTAGCATATTTATGGGAAATGCAGGAATGCGAATAGTGCTAATTGTGAAATGCGTGGGAGGTGGGCGGGGGGTTTTCAAAGTCATATTATGCCCATGCATTATGCAGGATTAGCAGCATCAAAGGGAGGGGGCAGGGGCAGCACCAACAAAGGGAAGGAATGTTAATAGTGTGCAGCTGCAGCAACCAAACAACCACGTAACAAGCTAAAGTATAAACTACATAGTATCATCAGTATGCCAAATACACTCTCAATAAGCTGAGCTACCAACCGTAAGTAATACAGTACAATTCTAGGTCGCAAAAAATATAATATGCTTACAGCTAAACTTTTTAAACTTTTACCTTACATCACACAGGTATATCCCACACTATATGCTGCCATAGACAAACCCAACATCAAATTGTATACTGTATTACTATACACTACCCTATGTCTTAGAATAATACATAGTGTAATATTACACTATGTATTATTCTACCCACCTAACTGTATACCACACTGCTGTATATTCACCATACAATCACGATACTATATATTACCCTATACATTGTATTAAACATTACACCTTAATACTATTTATTATTATACAATATGCTATACACTATACCATTGACTGTCGCGTGATAGGTACCAAGAGGAAGCAACAAATATGTCAATGGGAGAGCGGTGAACGGAAGCTTGCAGCGGAGCAAAGAATCCACTCCCCGCGGAGAACACAAGATATATAGTCAATGTCTGTGAGTGGAACGCGGTCTGAAAGCCACCGTAAACGCGGACACAATCAGTTAAGATTTGAATTAGCTCAATTAAAAAAGAGGGATGACATCCTCTCAGCCGACAAAGGCAATGCCACTGTCATCATGGACAACAACAAAATTCAAGAACTACTCAACGATGGCAGCTATACAAAAATAAAAAGAGACCCCACCAACAGCCTCGTCTCTAAAACCAACCAACTCATTTCTGATTCAACCGCATTAATTGATCAGACCAAACAGTTCTCGTTGAAACCTTCTGCAGCCAGGCCACCAAGATTATACGGCTTGCCAAAGATACATAAAGAAGATACACCTCTTCGTCCCATTGTCTCTACGATCAACTCCCCCACATACAAACTGGCTCGTTTTTTGTCTGAAATCCTACTGCCGTTCACTGGAAAAACCACCTCTGCGGTACTAAACTCTACTGACCTGGTATCGACAATCAAGGGGATTTCCCTGTCCCCAGACGACCTGCTTGTCAGTTTTGATGTGGTTTCCTTATTCACCAAAGTTCCTGTACCTGACACCATCGCAATCATTGAAGACTTGGTTCATCAAGGACTGAATGCTGGGGTACCCCCCCCCTGGTGAGACACTGCTTAACCAATACATACTTCACCTGGAATGTACTTTCTACAAGCAAACTGAGGGCACCCCAATGGGCTCCCCTCTATCTCTGGTTGTAGCCAACGTCTTCATGGAGAAATTTGAGACTGACGCCATCCAGACTGCCACTCTACGCCCGACCTTATGGAAGAGGTACGTAGATCACACTTTTGTCATCTGGCCACATGGCCGGCCTGCTCTAGACCAATTTCTCGACCACATCAATTCCATACAGCCCAGCCATCAGATTCACCATGGAAGTCGAAAAAGATGGCAAGCTACCCTTTTTGGATGTCCTAATTAAAAGGAGACCTGATGGTTCAATGAGCCACTCTGTCTACAGGAAAGCCACCCATACATATGCTTACCTAAAACCGGATTCCCACCACCATCCATCCCAGAAGAATTCCCTCATCAAGACTCTATACCATAGAGCCCAATGCATTTCCGACCAGGAACACATTGCCAGTGAACTCAAACATGTACGTCAAGCTCTTAAGGCTAATGGTTACTCCGACTACACAATCCGCAAAGCCATCACTCCAACCATCAAGAAGGACCCTGTTGAGGAGCCTCTCAAGACCATCACGTTACCCTACATTGCTGGGGTCACAAAAAAGATCTCAAAAATCCTGATTAAACACAAGATCCAGGTCCGATTCAACACAGTACATAAAATCCGTGATCTTGTCCCGTCTGTAAAAGATGTGGTTCCAGACATACAGTACCCTGGCATCTACAAACTAAGTTGCCTCTGTGGTAGCAGTTACATTGGAGAAACCAAACGACATGTCTCGGACCGCATCCGTGAACATAAAGCAGACTTGAAACACGGTGGGGCAAACACCTCAGCCGTGGCAGATCACTGTTACAATTCAGTGGGCTCACATGATATTGACTTCTCCAAGACAGAGGTTCTCTGCAAGCCATCTGGCTACCATGAGAGATTCGTCCATGAGGCGATCCACATATACAAACACAGAAACAATTTCAACCGAGAAGATGGATTCCGGCTTAGCAATCATTGGAAGGACGTAATAAACCATTTCGGATCTTAACTGATTGTGTCCGCTTTTACGGTGGCTTTCAGACCGCGTTCCACTCAATGACATTGACTATATATCTTGTGTTCTCCTCGGGGAGTGGATTCTTTGCTCCGCTGCCAGCTTCCCCGCACTGCTCTCCCATTGACATATTTCGTTGCTTCCTCTTGGTACCTTTCACGCGATGGTCAATGATATAGTGTATAGTATATTGTATCATAATATAAATAGTATTAAGGTGTAATGTTTAATACAATGTATAGGGTAATATATAGTATCGTGATTGTATGGTGAATATACAGCAGTGTGGTATACAGTTAGGTGGGTAGAATAATACATAGTGTAATATTACACTATGTATTATTCTAAGACATAGGGTAGTGTATAGTAATACAGTATACAATTTGATGTTGGGTTTGTCTATGGCAGCATATAGCGTGGGATATACCTGTGTGATGTAAGGTAAAAGTTTAAAAAGTTTAGCTGTAAGCATATTATATTTTTTGCGACCTAGAATTGTAATGTATTACTTACGGTTGGTATCTCAGCTTATTGAGAGTGTATTTGGCATACTGATGATACTATGTAGTTTATACTTTAGCTTGTTACGTGGTTGTTTGGTTGCTGCAGCTGCACACTATTAACATTCCTTCCCTTTGTTGGTGCTGCCCCTGCCCCCTCCCTTTGATGCTGCTAATCCTGCATAATGCATGGGCATAATATGACTTTGAAAACCCCCCGCCCACCTCCCACGCATTTCACAATTAGCACTATTCGCATTCCTGCATTTCCCATAAATATGCTAAATTCCTCTTCATATGCAAAGTCTTTTGTGAAGGTGCTCTTCCTCCTCCCTCCCAGCTTAAATAGACGCTCCAAGCCTAGGACGTGTCATTCAGACTCTGTCTTATCGACAGACATGTTCTTCACCTGAGGACGGCTGCTTGCGTTGTGGCCGAAACGTCGTGAGAATTGTTTTATTATGTTTTACTTTTTATTATTTTATTACTTCCCTACTACGTGACTTTACCGAAAGAACCAAGAAGCTCAATATTTAGTTTCGAAGTGTTTGTGGAGTACATATACCCTTTGGTTCTTTCGGTAAAGTCACGTAGGTATTAAATAAAATAAAATAAATCACGAAGTTTCGGGTGCAACACAAGCGTCTATCATCAGGTGGGAAAGCATGGTCTGTTGCTGAGGCAGACTGTTTTAAAAGGTTTGAAATTGGTGTAGCTCCAGGGTTATAAAGAAGTGGCCGGGGCTAGTGATGTTAATGTGAAAAATTAGAATGCAAAAGTAAGCTAGGAGAGCGGCCTCCTAGATGAGGGCACGGAAATGACTATATTAATGTGAGGGATTAGCATGATGTTAATGTGAGAAATTAGAGGACACGGAAGTGGCTATGTTAATGTGAGAGATTAACATGATGTCAATGTGAGAAATTAGCATGTAACTGTAGAAAAGAAGAAGAATAATAGCGGCCTCCTCGACAAGGCAGTGCAACCCAACGGGTGTAATCCGAAGGGGCTGTGAGTATGAGAGTGTAATCCAAAAGACATGTGAGCATGAGAGTGCAATCCAAAGGCATGAGAGTGCAATGTAACGGACATGTGAGCATGAGAGAACTAAGAGAGAGGCATAGAGAAAGAGAGAGACACAGAGAGTCGAAATAACAGCTGACATATGCAGGTAGGATGGAAACATCACAGTCAGTTAAGACTTTACCTGGTTAATAACGTCCTTTCAAATCAAGGAGTACATTATATTCTAAAGAAAAAATACAACCAGCAAATGAGCTCATCATATGCTTAATACGTTTCAAGTGAAATCATGGGTAAGCAACTATGTACCATTCCAACTAAGCAATATGTACTATGCCATTCATTTTCATTAGTTTGGAGGCGACATAGAAAACTGTATAAAAGCAAACAACTATTTACCATAGATTTGAAGCTTTCGTGACTGCAGGAATTACTGTTTGTCTTTGTGTATGTCTCTGTCTGAATGTGTGTCTGCCTATGTTGTTTCCGTGTCTATGTTTTATCATTAATTTTTACCTGATTATAACTGCTTGTGTTGCAACCGAAACGTCGTATTCTATTATTATTTTATTTAATTTTATACATGACTTTACCGAAAGAACCAAAGAATATAACTATTTACCCATTAGATGTCGGAGCCAGCAAGGTTACGATCGTTTCATTGAGGAAACTGTCAGTCTGGTTAAGCCACAGGCATCCACTGGTGTTGAGAGGTAAGGGCAGAGTTTTGTCAGCTGGTGGAGGATAGAATTGTGCTCCAACTCCAACCCACAAGGCCAAGAGAAACCCCGCCGCCAGACCAGCAGTAGCACCCTATGGCAGAGATATTCACAACATGCAGTCACATTAACGTTAGACCAACATTACCACTTATGTGTAATTGTTAGACACGCAATGATTAATCGATTCAAATAGATTCCTATGCTCACAATACATGCATCCAATTGTGCTTGTGAGAATCCATTATTAACACGACAAAACATCTGATTTGTTTTGCATATACCCTGCAACAATGATTGATTCCACCGATACCACAATGGAAAAACAACTAAAAATCTTCAACCAAGTCACGAACCCAAATCATGAAGTTCATAGAATCATGAAGGGAAATTTTTACATGTGTAATGAGCGACTTCCGCGGCACGTCGTGTAGAGGGTACTCTCTTCTTTATTCACATTCGGACACACCATGGGCCAACCTTATCCTCTTACTTCTCTGAGTACACACGTAGATATTAGCATCCCTACAGGCTACACGTGGTTGATCCCACAGTGTGGTTCCGTCCGCCCACTTCCGGCCTCGCCACTGGTTGAAGGCGTGCCGGCGAGGGTGGTGGGACTTCGCAGGAGATCTGCCACGTGGCCGAACGACGGAGAAAGATGACGGCGAGCAGCGACGCAGTCCAGACCCAAGGCTCCCTACACTGACCACGAATACGCCTACGCTTATATTGCCACAAGTGCGACTAGGCTCCGCCTCTGGACATGTCCTCTCTTGGAACCTTCTAGCCGGTTACCAGAGTACCTCGGCCAGCCCTGCCCTTTACCTTTGGCCCAGAAACCTCTCCCTTTGGGATTGAATTATGTTTATAGTGATGCCTGTACCCGTGCCTCCCTTTTCCAACCAGTAGATGTCACTATGTCATTACATCAACCCCCCCCCCCCCCCCATAATAAAAAAGTAGCCGTCCCGGCTAATATTCAATTAACATGGAAGAGCACGTATGTGTAAAGTAGGAGCCGACACCAGATTGCAGGGGTCTCGTCCTTTATTCCTTTCCTTCCATCCACACCTGTCCCCAGCCGTCCCAATCTCGTTCCCGCCAAAGGCCCCCTCTTCCCGCCCGTTCTCTCCTTATATCTCTTCGATCACCCCTCCCACTAACCCATCTATTGGTGGGAATCCTTCCCCTGACACCCCTACATCACCCCCCCCCCCCCCCCCCCCGGAGAAAAAATAACCGTCCTCGGTTCTGCCTCCCCCATGGACCATTTAAATCTCCCCATGCCTCCCCCCACTGACAGTGACGACAGCCCTTACCCCCCCCCCCCCCACAACCATACAATGCAACATAACACAACGAAATCAATTGCGCGGCCTGCCCAGGTCTCCAGCCAGCATCCCGTAACAGCCCGGACATCCACAGGCAGCAGATGACCGTGGCGGCCCCCTCCTTCGAAGGCCCTCTCGTCGCGGTCCCTGGTTCGGTGGTGCCGGTGTCGCCTTGCCTGGCGCCGCTGTCTCTCCGGCCCCCGCTCGTGCTGCCGCTCCGTCAGGCCTCACATGGGGTGCTGTAGGTGACAAGGGAACACAGGGCACCGAACCCCCTGCCGGTCGGCGCGTGGTGGTCGGCGACCTTGGCCTGGGTAGGGATGATGATGATGTTGGCAGTGATGTTGGTGGTGATGTTGGTGAAGATGACGGTGGAGAGATGTATGGCTTAAGGCGGGTGGGGTGTACAAACCATCGTCGCTTACCCAGTTGGACCTGGACGCACTGCGGTCGGAGTGCTTTAATGACCTCGACCGGCCCTTTCCAGGGTCGGTGCAGCTTTGGTGAGAGGCCAACCAGCACCTGAGGACAGTGTAGCCATGCCTGGTCCCCGACTTTGAAGGGCTTGGCTGTCACCGTCCTCTCCCGTATCCGTACATTACTCTCTTGGCTCGTGGCCGATGCGGCCTCGGCTGCTTGGCGGGCCTCTCTCAAATAAATGAGGGAGGTCTTTAGTGCCTTCGGCCATGCGTCGGCTCTTGCGGGAATGTCCGTCAACTGCACCTCAATAGGCGGAACGGGATCCCGTCCGTACATCAGGAAAAACGGCGAGAACCCCGTCGCCGCGTGTGGGGCCACCCTGTACGCCGCTAAGACAGTCGGAATGGTTTTCGTCCACCACTTGGGACAGCATGGCCGCTATGGTGCGGTTAAGCCGCTCTACCATCCCATCGGTCTGGGGATGATACGGAGATGTTCGGACCTTTTTAGTGCCCAGGATAGAGCAGACGTCCTTCAATAGCTGTGAAGTGAAATTCCTGCCCTGATCCGTGAGCAACCGCTCCGGTGCCCCCTTATCAAGGACATAGCCTCCCACGAAGGCATCGGCGATGGTCTGTGCCGTTTGGTCCGGGAGGGCCCACGCCATCGGCCACCTCGTGCAGTACTCGACTCCAACCAACAGGTATTTATTTCCCCGTGGCGTGACCGGCAGTGGTCCCAGGATGTCCAACGCAACCAATTAGTTGACCCTGGTCACCGTGATGGGCTGTAGGGGCGCCCGGCTTACCCGGGGTGGCGGCTTTCGCCGCGCACATTCGACGCAGGTAGCGACCCATCGATGCACGTCAGCGGTCATACCTGGCCAAAAGTACCAACTCTTTAATGTGTACAGTGTCTTCCGCCCCACCAGGTGCAGCAGCTGGCGGCCGTGTACGTCCATAACCAATTGTTGACGCAGCGACTCCGGAACTACCAGGCATCGTCGGCGCCCTGTCGGGTCCCATCGCATGAGGAGGTCCTCCCATACGATGTACTCCTCCCCCCCTGCCTCTGCTAAGGCGCGTAGCGTTCGCAGTGGGGCTTCCTCCAGCTGTAGCCGTCGCCAATCGTCCAAGGTCAGCCCCAGGTCGTGGTCGGTCAGCTGGACCTCACCCTGTGCGTCCTCCGCCGTGCGTACGGGAGCGATGACTGTCCCCTCCGGCCTCGCCTCCTTGCAGCGTGCCCCGCCTGTGGTGCATGCACAAGGGCCCTGGGGCGCCAGTCGGGACAATGCGTCTGCGTTGGCATGTCTGGTCCCTTTGCGATGCACTACTTGGTACCTGTACTCCTGCAGGCGCTCTATCCATCTGGCCAGCTGGCCCGAAGGCTGGTCGATGCGGAGCGAATACTGCAAGGCCGCGTGGTCAGTGCGGACCGTAAATTTGCGACCATACAGGTAGGGTCGAAATTGCTGCACGAAGTGAACGACTGCCAGGAGTTCCCTACGTGTGACGCAGTAGCGCTGCTCCGCTGATGAAAGCACGCGACTACCATAGGCGATAACCACCTCGCGACCCTGCTGGACTTGCGACAAAACACTGCCGATGCCCACATCGCTGGCGTCCGTGTCCAGGATAAAGGGGAGGCCAAAATCCGGAAAAGCCAATGGTGGTGCATCTGTCAGACGTGAGCGCAGCTGCTGGAATGCCTCTTCCTCCAGAGGGCCCCAATAAAACCTCTGGTTCTTCGCCGTCAACACGTGCAAGGGCTTGGCAATGGTTGCGAAGTTGGGTACGAACCGGCGGTAATAAGAAACGAAACCCACAAACCGGCGTACCTCTGGAACCGTTGTGGGAACAGCCCAGGCCCTCACGCAGGCCGTCTTTTCCGGGTCTGTAGCCACTCCAGACTCACTGACGACGTGGCCCAAGTAGCGTACCGACGACTGCATAAGGTGGCACTTCGACGGCTTGAGCTTCAAGTTCGCGTTCCGGAACCGCAGGAATACCTGACGTAATCGGTCAATGTGTTCCTCGAATGATCGGCTGAAGACAATGACGTCATCCAGGTAGATGAGGCACGTTTCCCATTGGAGGCCTGCTAAGGCCAACTCCATTATGCGTTGGAACGTCGCCGGCGCAGTCTGGAGGCCCATAGGCAGGCAGTTGAACTCGAACAGGCCCTGTGGTGTCCGGAACGCTGTTTTAGGCCGGGAGTCCGCGTCTAGTAGGACCTGCCAGAACCCGGACAATAAATCCAGCGTACTGAAAAATTTTGCTCCCGCCAGTGCATCCAATGAGTCGTCAATACGTGGTAGGGGATATGCGTCGGCCAGCGTGACGGCATTGAGGCGTCGGAAGTCCACACAGAATCTCAGTGACCCGTCTGACTTCTTGACTAGGACCACCGGTGCCCCCCAGGGACTCGAGGATGGAGAAATTATGTCGGCCCGCAGCATCTCCTGCACCGCTTGTTGAATGTGCCCTTTTTCCATTGGGCTCATTCTATATGTGTTTTGGCGCAGGGGTGCGGCATCTCCCGTGTTAATGTGGTGCTGCGACAGATTTGTGCGCCCTAGGTCGAACGGTCCCCGGCTGAACACGTCCGAGAACTCATGCAATAATGAGTGCAGCTGCTGTTTCTGGTCGGGCGGCAATCCCGGCTCAGGCCCCGCCAGCTGGTCCATCCACGATTCGGCCCCTCTGTCCTCGGACTGGCTGATGCTGCCTACAAGCTCGGGCTTTGTCCCTGGGGCTCCTAGTGACAAGGGACTAACGTGGGCCAGAACTGTTCCCTCCTGCACCGTCGCTGTTCTATCAGAGGTGTTCAGCACCTGAATGAACAGATGCTGGTTCCTCTGTACAATAGTTTCGGCTCCCACCAGCGCATGGCGATCCATGGCAGCTGACGCCGGAGACACCAGGATGGGTGAGTCTGGTCGGGCTGTCACGAGGGGAGACCGATATTGCAGCGGAATCAGCATCTGGGCTGCCGGGGGAATGGAGACAGACTTACTGACCAGAGCCTGCACGTAGGGTACACCCCGGCTGGCCCCCTCCGCCTTTAGGAAATGGAGACGCGTTCCCTGGACTTCCACACGCCCATTGGCCAGATCGATTTTCATTGGCATCCGCCTCAGAAAGTCCGTCCCCAACAGGCAGGGTACGGGCAATGTTGCGGAGACAAGGATGGGTCCTGCTACCGAAAGCTGCCCAATCTGTATCGGGGCTTCAACCTGGCCCAGGAAGCCCATGCTGCCTCCATTTGCTGCAATGAACGTTGTCTTGACGGGGACTAAAGGTCGGATTTTATCCGGCAGCATCTCGTGCATGGTGCTCGA